GGTCGTGGAACTCAATGGAGAAGAGTGGGTCACAGTGAACACAACAATTAGCACCTGGCTGTGCACGAAGGAGCCTGAGCGGCGGTTTAGCCAATATCAGGTCACTTTCAGCGCACCAAGTGGATCAAGCTTCCCTCCCATTCTCAATGGGTATGAGGTCTACGTGGCCAATGAGCGCTCTCAACTAGCAACTGATGCTGGAGATGGTATGTGGCCATGCCCAGGCCATAATGCACAAGAGAGAGAGAGAGAGAGCTCTTTTCTTATTCATTTGTTTTCAATTGTAAATATTTGATGGTCGAGAGGAGAGTAGAGTTACATTAGAGCTACTGAGTCTAAATTCCCTCAGAAATTTGGTATGAAATTCAAACCAAATTCCATCCATTAAACAAGGTTTAACAGCCAGCATGTTAGTTTACATTTTGGCAATCCACCTCATTTTGAAAGTCATAAAATGTGAAGCATAGCCAATTCTTTACCCCATTCTTTCAATTCTACTGCCTTTCAGTTGCAGCACTTATGGATATCAAAGATAAACTCAGACTGACGAACAGGAGTTGGGCTGGAGACCCATGCCTTCCAGAAGACTACCCATGGGATGCCTTGACCTGCAATGAAGCACCAAACCGTCGAATTATTACACTGTATGTAGCCAAATAGCCATGTTTATCACCATATGCTTTCCTTGATTTCCACATTGGCACTTGCCAAAAGGACAACGAAAAGAAACTCAAATTTGCAAAAGGAAAATAAAAGCATGAAACTAAAGGGTTTTGTTTGTAGGGATCTCTCGGGCAGCGGATTGAATGGAGAAATACCGGCTTCTATAGCCAACCTCAATGAGCTCACATCACTGTAAGTACTTCATATAGTCACATAGATGCACCTCAACATGCACACAAGTACTATTCTCTCACTTCTTTCCTTTTCGAAGGAAGCCAGTCTAAGCACCTTCACAAAAGATCAGCTCACATTGTTTTTGGGTAGTTTAAACTCAAAACCATCAAGGTTGAGAGGACAACCAACTTCCATGGAGAAATGGGCCTGAATCCAACATAAAGCCACAAGATCATAATATATTAGAAAGAACAGACAAGCTTTAAGGCCTAGGGAAAGCAAGCATCCTCACTCCTCCATCTAAAGCACTAAAATTTCACTTCAGTCAATTGTGTAGAACTGAACTCAAACATGGGGAAGTTATATATTCGAGCTGGCAAATAAAAATTTCAACATTTTCACTCTCAGTCCAATCAATATGGATCTTAAGCTTGATGACTCTGTTTTCTAACAGTAAAAACCAAACAGTATTGCTTCAATGTTGGACTGATAACATAGATCTGAAACTTGCCCAAGATGTGATTCACTTTTGGCTCCACCAAAGCCTTCTTTTACATGTATGTGAGTTTATTTCTGTCTTTACATGAGCATCAATGAATTTGGAGGTCACCTTTTCCCTAACAAATGCATTTTCCAAGTCAATGTGTTTCATCTGTTGATGGATAACTGAGTTAAATGCTTGTATGGCTACATGGCTCTCACAACCTATCCTGAATAAATAATTCACATTGATGGCTAGATTCCCCAACAGTAGTTTCAACCATACCATTCACATGCTGTATATACATACTTTGTTATGAAAATACACTTAATCTATAGCATGAGTGTAGCCTTGCCAAGGTCACCTCAACATATCTCAACATGGTCAACATGCAGTTACTGAGTTGCATGACCATCAGGAGGCATGAATCACAGGGCAGGTGTTGGACTGAAAGTTGTTCCTCCTTTGCTAATGGTTGTTCACTTAAGTTCATTACAAGTATAAAGTATTTATGGAACAGCTACTTCAACATTGATTTTTCCATCTGCGTTACAAACAGTACTCAGCTAGACTAGGAGAATAACTCAGTTTTAATTTACAATGAATGCCACGTAATTATTGTTTTGTGTTGTTTCTCATCAACAGATGTTAGACCTTACCGAAAGGGTATGTGATCTTATTGAGCACAAAAATATCTATCTACAGAACCTGTATGATGCTTCATAGAGAACTTCTATAAAAGTTCACTTAACTTTTTTATTCCTACAAAAACTATTTTGACCTTAATAAGCCTACCCATGCTATCGGAGTGTTTGGCCAAATGGTTGTTATTTTGATGGAATATGATATCACTTATTTTCCCCAACGTGCTGTCAAAGGACAGGCCCTAGCCGATTTCTTGGTTGGACGTTCGATTCTGTAAGGGTTTCCATTAGATGAAGAATTACTAAGTGCAATAGAAGAGTGTCCCAATTGGGAAACATATTTTGACAGTGCCTCTCAGGCCAAGGGATCCAGCATCGGTATCCTTTTTGTTAATCCCGTGTAAGGACTCCTCCCTTACTCCTTTTCTTTGAAGAGGAAATGCTCAGGAAATCAAGCCAAGTATGAGCCTCTTATCACTGGGTTATGAATGGCCCGCGCACTCAGGATTGACATGCTTTTGATATTTGGGGACTCACAATTAGTAAGCTGCCAAATTGACAGAAGTTACCAAGTGAAGAAAAAGGAGTTGCTCCCATATCACAAACAAGCTATGAGTCTGATACATAATTTGAAGACTCTACCCCTCACCCTTTACCACGAAGCCCGAATAGGCAAGCCGATGCATTGGGAAAACTGGGAGCATCAATAACTCTCTCTTCTTCCAAAATGCTGCAAGTTTGGGTCCAAGAAAAGCAGATGCCCGTTCCATCAGTGGAAGCATATCAATTGCCGGAGCTCACAATACCAAATACCCCATCAATGATCAATCCTAAGATGCATCGGCCACCATTGTACGACATGTCTCTTGCTCTCAGGCAGATTCACCTGACTGGAGACAACCTTATATAGACTTTATACAATATAGAATCCTCCCACATGAGAAAAATGAAAGAGACTCCATTTGGAGGAAAGCAACAAGATTCACCCTTTTGGACAGGGTTCTCTATCAAAGAAACTTTGAAGTTTGAACTAAGAAAATAATCTCGACACTATATTACCATCTTAATTCACATATTTAAAAAACTCCAACTATATGCCTACACTAATCCTCAGCAGCCAAAAGCCATGCAATGCATTAATTTTTCATATAAAGGCATGGATTGTTGTACCCTTTTGATGTTTTTGTGAATAGGGAGCATTATGGCATTCCACAAAAAGAAGGTTATTAAACTGATTTTCAAAGAAATTCTGGCTATATTCATGATATTTGAAACTATAGTATTTTACATAATCAAAACGGAAACTACATTCTCAATTTTTTTTTTATTATTATTGATACAGAAACCTATCAAACAATTTGCTGACAGGTCCCATACCAGAAAGGTTTGCTCATCTGACCAAACTAAAGTCATTGTAAGTATAAATCCAATCTTTCAAGAGGGCAATAAAGGGGAAATGAAAAGAAATATGATTTTCATGGACATACATATGGTTTGTTTATAGGGATTTGTCAAGAAACAATTTAACAGGGCTGGTTCCAAGCACATTAATAGATAAAAACGACAGTGGTGTACTTCTATTAAGGTTAGCATTGATATACTGACATTTTTATTTTACTCTTTGAGAGAATCACTTATAACTGACTAGTCTGACTTCTTGTTTGTTTTCTAACTTATCGTTTGCAGCATTTTCCAAAATCCCAGCCTTCTAAGACCCAATGCCTCTGAACCAACTCAAAAAAAGAGCAAGAAGAATGTGTTTATGGCTGTGATATCTGTTAGTGCAACAATGGTCTTGCTCTTTGCCTTTGCATTTATTCTGATAAGGAAGAGAAGGAAAATAAATGGTGAGCTTCCATTTACTAACCAACATCTAGTATTCTAATATACTTTAGCATCTAGTATATACTCTTTCTTTCAATTATGCCACTCCGTACCAAATAACCAAAGAACACCAATATGCGTGCACTCAACCTCTGTTTGACCTCCTATACTCAAGTTTTACACAAAAAAATAACACGTATTCCCAAATCATGCTTCGAATTGGTCAAAACACCTAAATATTTTAAAAAATATGAGCTCTTAAGGTTAATGTCTTAACGGTTTCTTCTTTTTTGTTATTTACTAGTTCCTCAAAAGTATGAGAAAAATGGAGAAGTTCCTAACTTGGAAAATATTTCTTGTTTTGCATGCTATTTTCATGCTATTTTGTACCATTGTATGTTTTTGAGCATTCTGTGTTGGGGAAGAAGCATTGGTTTTACAAATAAAGTGATAATCCAAAAGACACCCGCATGGAGGTTATAGGGCTGCAAAAGCTATTATTAAAATTGCTATAATGTGGGTGAATGTTAAGGATTATTGTACTAATTTGAGGCACTACCCCTTACATATAGTCAAGATAGCAAGCAAAGACATGCGTATGGAAATAGTTCCAGCAAAAATATAAAGAAGACAAAATAACAAAACCTCTTATACGGTGGAAAATAGAAATACACCATATATATTGGCATACTCTGTCAAACACGAACATGTAGATCCATGAACAAGAGAATATACATTAAAAACATTTACTACTTTGAATGTATGTTTCCGTGAGCAAGTTTAGTGCATGTTAGTCCGTTGGGATCAAGAAAAGATGAAGTTTACATCATTGAACTCCAAAATGGAATGATTGTCCATTTCATCATGAATTAAGCATTTACGTGAACTCAAATAGCACAGCAATAAGCATAAGCTATTGGTGTCAGAGCAGTCAAGTCGACTAAAATACAATCTCAGATATTCTCACAAGTGGTTGACATGTTGTACTAAACATCCTTCCCATTGGATTTCCATTCCATGGTAGCTAAGGATTGTGATAGAGAAGGAAGGGTTGTTATTATGAGGTTGGGAGTACATTGCTGTTTTGATTCAACAATCAACTAGAAAGCAAATATATTTATCTACTTACAATAACCAATTACCATCTAGGAAGAAAAATAAACCGTGGGAAACCCGTTTAATTGCTCAATACTGAACGCCCAAAGGCAATGCGCATTCTAGAAAAAAGGTAACTCCACCTTCGCAGAAACCAACCTATCAATTATGATTACTCAAGTGTTGACTGCACCCATACATCATGAAAACAAACCATGGTTGTCCATGAGGCATGGAAATGAATGATGCAAATAGTACCTCGTTGGTTGAAGCTATGATTAGGCGGTTTGGGGCTGGTTGATTTTTTTCCATGAGCCACCCTTGGCTAGTTTTTCATTTTAGTTTTCTTTCTTCTTTTTGATAATCAATTTTGCACTAGTGAGAACAAATAGAAATGTACTTAAAGAGTACATAGAAATTGACAAGCCTACCACTAGACAGATAAAGAGAAAAGATAGGTGAAGGGGAAATTGACGAGACAAATCAAAAGAGAGGAGTGTCTTATGGACTAAGGATCAAGAAAATGTAGAATGGCGCATACATGGCCAGTTTCATTACGTAAAATAGGCTTACTGGGTTGTGGTATACTACCACAACAATTTTCCCCAATAACTAAAATAAGAATAAGTGGTTTTCTATAAGATCTTCATAAAGCAATACAACTTTTGTTTCTTATAGCTGTTCCTGGAGCTCCCAACTTCTGCCATCAATGCACAACAGCTTCCTGACTTGGCATTGCAGGACCATAGGCACAACTTAGATAGTGGATAGCATAGACATAACAAGGAGTTTTCAATCATTCAGAAGTTCCCATTAACAAGTGTTATAAGGCTTGGACACCATCTATTAAATTTAGAATGTCTTGGTAAATAAATGGGGGACTTTATATTTGGTCAGTTCAAAGCTGATGACTCTTATAAGTATTTTCTTGCCTTGCTACTAGCAACTGGCAGCTAAATATTAGGTTCAGTTTACACGCTCCTAAACTTGATTCCTTCCCACAGGTACCACATCAATGGTGCAGGATTTCCCACTTGCTGTCTTGTAAGACTTGTCTGTTAAAGCTTCTCATTTCCATATAAAATCTTAAAATGAACTACATTGTTGACAGTCAGCACAGAAAAAGTGACACCACAGTTCCAGTAATTGATATCACTGCTTGAAGATAAGCGGTGGCACTGCTTAAGTGCACATTAAATTTTTTTTTCAGAGGTGTATATTTCATTCTATTGGTTATAGTAAGGTACAACAAATCTTATACTCATTTTTTACATCTTTCAAAATTGAAATCAGAGCACGGCATCCTTAACGACGATGCATGGTTTGGGATTCGACAAGAACACATCTTAGAGGAAGTAACAAGAAGTAATTCAAATTGATTATGTCTCTAAAATACCCAATTGTCTCTGCCAAAAGACTCAAGTAACCTTTCAAGAAAATTTTTTCTTTTGTGGTTCAACAATTTTCTCCACACTGACTTGACAGTTTCTCAAAAATAAAGAGAATGACAAAACAGGTATCATATATCATAGTTAGGTCTTTTTCGGATAGTAAGAATTTAAGTAGTAAGCCCAGGACCAAAAGCCAGTCCTAAAATTTCAAAGAAGCAATCACCATCTACGGGGCAACAAACCCACCACAAATCAAAGAAATTTGGTATAATACAAGACAAAATACAATTGATTATCTTAGAAGAAATCATTCAGTAAAGGGAACCAATTTTTCAAGATCAAAAGCCAATGTAACTGCCCCAATTTCTCAGACCTTAAGTCAAGGTTCCAGGTTTTTTTAGCCTTTGTGACTGCTGCATCCATGTCTATGCACAAACTTATCACTTCCTAGCAAAATATAAGGTACTATTATTTCCCAGATGTATTAATTTTTGTCTTCTATATTAAAAATAGTATTAATTTGGTATCTTAATAATCTGTACTGGGATCATTTCCAAAAACTGTGAGATTTTAGAAACGGCTGAGGAAACCAACTAGGAGTAGAGACTGAATAGACCATGACAAAGAACATGCCGGAATAGCTAATGCAGAATTTCGCGAATAATAGAAAAGTCAAATGGAAATATCTATCTTATTGATTTGTCTCACAGACTGTTTTACTCTCCACTAATTGCACCAGGAACAAAGATCTTAAGAATGAGGAAAAGAAAAAATTCATCAAATTCAGATGGCGCTCGACCATTTACACACTCTGAGATTGTTAAAATAACCAATGACTATGAAAAGGTCATTGGTCAGGGAGGATATGGGACTGTCTTCTATGGGCGCCTAGCTGATGGCCGTGAAGTTGCTGTCAAGATATTGTCCAAAGAATCACGACAAGGAGTCAAAGAATTCTCTGCTGAGGTTTGTATGAAAAAAGAACCTAAATCTAGTTTGATATGAGCATATTCTTAACTTGTAATAAGGATAAATATTTGGATTTTGGGATAAGGCTCTGATGATGATGATAAAGGATAATTTGGACTTTGGCAAAGCAGGTCAAACTGTTGATGAGAGTTCATCACAAGCATTTGGCCTCCTTGATAGGATTCTCTGAGGAAGACAAAGAGAAGATTCTTGTCTATGAATATATGCCTAATGGAAATCTATATTCGATTCTGTCAGGTATGATATTTGAATTGGTTTCTTTCACTTGTATCCTATTGTATGTTCTGTCTTTTTTTCTTTTTCTTTTCCCTTTTTAAATCTTTATTGGACTACTAGCAGTGAACCCTTTTTACAACTCCACCATTCTCAGGACAAGTGTATTATTAGGAGATACTGCCATTTTCATTTTTATTCTTGTTATGTATAGCTGTAAATAGAACCACTAAGGCAAACAAACAGGACCATTAAATTACAATAAAGATAACTTTATCCACTAGTAGCAATACAGCTTGTGCAGAAAGTCATAATGCTCATAAAGCATTCATTTCTTGACATAAATTAACATACAAATAGAAGAGTTACAATAAAACTAATTAGGATTATTAACAATGTCAACCATGAGAAAAGAACAAAACGATGAAGAGTGACAAGGTACTTATCCCAATATAACAATATCCAACTATGATGCAACTAAAGCATTCTAATGACTCCCTAATTAGCCATGTTTACCTAACACCAAAAAAAGATCCATTCTATTGAGATCACTACAGCTCTCAATCTCTTGTGGGTTCATCAGCCAATAGGCCCTTAGGCTTTATCTATGGGAGACACCCCTGGTTTGCTGGCTAAAGGTCAAGGGTTTAACCCTTGAAATTCATGCCTAGAATAACAAACCAAGCTAACCTACACATACTTTTTTGAAACTCAATCTTTACTAAAGCTTATTAAGGTCCTTTGTATAGCATCATATTATATTTGGACTTAGCTACTTTGCATGAATATTAACAAATATAGGGCATATTGCCCCATGATTGGAACAATGAAATATACATCCATACTTTTTACCCAATCATTGTGCTCGAATGTTCTTTTCCTCTCTTCTTTCTTAAGCTTAATATGCTATCAAAGCAGAGCTAAAAATCCTAAGATGTCAATTGCTTTTTAGCAAACCTAGAATCAAGATTTTCCTTTCTTCTTGGGATTTAAATTGAGATTTTCCTTTCTTCTTAGGACTGTTTCCCTATTTTACTGGGAAAGTTCATCCCAGATTCTTTTTCTTTCATGCAAAACAAATAAAAAAAAAGGAAACACCAAACCTCATTCTCTCAATTTTTTTTACCCCATGCCAAAAAACCAAATATATTCCATATCCTTCTTGTCTGGAAGAACAAGAAAAAAGGAAAATTATCAAACTTTGAAAACTAGTTAATCAATACATTAGGAAAAGACATAGTGTTTCGAGTTAGAGAGATAGAGATAGAGAGAGAGAGAGAGAGAGAGAGAGAGAGAGAGAGAGAGAGAGAGAGATAATAA